CTCAGCCTGGAAATCTCCTGGTGAACCCATGGGACTCTGAGCTCGTTGTGAATCTCCACGGATGAGTGGTTTGTTTTGCAACTTATGTATGATATTACAGTTGCTTCGGCTGGCAGTGCCCCAGATCGGAATCCCATAGGTCCACATGGGTTTCATTATAGCCTTATAAATTAATAGTTTGAAGCGCAGCCTCAGGGTGAACCTTTTGCCAACAAGCCAAAGATGCTTTTTCAGCCTTTCTTTCAGCTGTGACCTTTGGCTGAGTAGCTGAGGTCTCCACCAGACCCAAATACATGGTTGTAACGCTGCTAGGGGGGCAGTCTCCTCTTCTTTGGGCAAAAGGTGGCTCAAACAAACAACGTAGTCATCCGATCAGTAAGTAATTGTAAATTCATTTTATTGGTTTATATATAATATTTGTTTTTTTTCTTAACCAACACTAAACACTGTGTAACAATTTAATGGCAATGTCCTGCTATTGGGTCCTGCACACATTTCCAATGAATATCGGCATAAAATTCAGAGAGAGTATTAATAATCACACTTCCATATAGTGGAGTGTATTCCTTTAATTCATTTGCTTTGTTAAAAGCAAAAATCCTCAATGCGGCACAAGGCTCATCATTTACGTTACGGACAGCCACCACAAAACGGAGGCACATATGTATGCATCCATGTACATTCACGTATGTGTACATACATAGCTATAGATCTAGGTGTATATTTACGTATTTGTGGATTGGCTGGGGAAAAAATGAAATAACAGAAATCTTGGCAAAGCATAAGTACAAAATTTGTAATCTCTGGCGAGCATTAAATGCACTCGCCTGCCCGTTTATTTCGTCCAGTGACTATAACAAGAGCAACAACCACAACAGCCGGTACAACAACAAAAGCCGACAGTGCTGGGCATACGCTGTGTGTGGATTACTTTTCCATGTATGCGGTTTGCAGATGTCGAGCAGGTCGCTTCGGTATTTTTCCCATTAGCCGGCTTTGACACTGATAAGCCCGCTTGCTCGCCGCTTATTCTGGTAGAGAGTTTTTATTTCCTCCTCTTTGCGGACATAACTTTAAATTTATATTGTTTTTTATTTATATTTATATGCAGCTTAAACTGATCTATAACGTTCGTCCAAGCGTGCAAGCTAATTTTTAGGAAAATTAAAACTATTGACCATCATTTGATTTGTCTATGCATTTGTATGTGTGTGTGTAGGGTACAAATGTGATATTTACACTGACTTTAAGTCATGACATTTATATAATAAAAAAGGAATGGAAAGCTAACGCTGAACCAACTATAAAACCACAAAATAAAAAAATAAAATTTAAAAATATTTAAAATTGATTATAAAATAATCACTTAAATTTCGGAATAATTCCACTTAAATTACATGCTTGTAATCAGCTTTTAATTTGACAATGTTTACAACATTGAACTGTGAACATTAAGAACGATAGGGTGATTGACAATTTATTAGTTTTAGATTGAATAACATGTTATTCTCTGTTATGTATTTGATTTTTGAGTTATAATTTTCTGCTTTGGTATGTTGCTTTTGTAGCTGTTACTGTTCTCGCCATGCGTCATAATAAATAAAATAAGTGACAAATACAGAACTGAATAAAAAATAATTATAAAATTGTGTGTTAAAACTCACAACTGTTTGTTTGTGTCGATGCGACATATGCTATACATGCTCCAAATGCATGTATTTTAAGCATATACATATTTGCACATACACATTACATGAACTGTAACAACGACACTTAGGAAAATTTTATCCGAATATTGTATACGTTGAACTTAAGCCATTATATATCTCATATTTTCATACCCTGTAACAGGGCAGGCAGAAGGAAGCAACACCGAACCCATGAAGTACTTATGTATAATTCTTAATTACCCTGACGAGGAAAATCAATCTAGACTGGTCCGTTCGTCTGTCTACGCATTGAGTAATCTTGGTTGTAGTCCCTAGTCCCTAGGCAGCACGAAAAATATGTAATAAATACATAATTCTCTACATTTGTTTTAAATTTTATTCAATCGGTCAATTGTATTGATTATATACCCTAATATTTCCCCATTCTCAACATTCTCAATATACAATTATTATCCCATATCCTTAGAAATTTACATGTTGTTGATGGTTTTTTATAGGAAAGAGTAATCTAACATTGACAGAAGCCGCAGTGCCAAGTCTCGATTTGGATTTTCCTGGTCTTGCTGCCCACGCACATACTTGTATGTACCATATGTGATCACGATTCATTCTTTCAGGTTTTACAAACGTACGCACTAAACACGATGTACCCTAATACGTTTCAATGGTATATATATATTTGACTAAAACCATTTTAGAGGCATTTTTGTACTCAATTTTGTGGGAAAATAGATGCTTTTGTTCTAAGTGTATTTACACAAAGACAAAACCAGATAACATGTTTTATTTATGTATAATAAATGTGCACCCTGTCAACAACACACAACCGACAATTGACGACCGACGTCACACCCTCAAGCACTCACACTCTGCAATTAAATGCAATTTCATTTTCAATACTTCACAACGAAAATAAAGCACAGCTTTATACATATGTACGTACATATACATATATGCTTCTAACATATGTATGTGTTACTATATACATATGTATGTATGCATGTATGTATATTTAGTGAATTAAAACAAACAAATAACAAATATTGTTAAAATTATAAAAAAAGCAAATGAAAACCAAGCAACATAAACAACTGAAAAACTCGAACTGCGGCAACAACGAAAGCCAGCCAAACATATTTCAATAATTTGTAAAATATTTATGTGGCGCACATTTTGCGCAGAAATCGTATGTTACTCCACACATGCATATGTACAAATATGTAGACTTCCTCGTATATCCATATATGTAGTATGTGCATATTCACATACTTAAGTATGTGTGCGAATGTATTTATATTTTGCGCAAATTAACAAAATACGTATGAATATGTATGTATGTTTGTATGTATGTATGTAGCAATTTTATTGCTAATACGGCAAGTGCTTTGGTGGAGAGAGCAGGAGTCTGAAATGGGAAAGTACCGAACTCTAATGGAGACACAAACACGTAACTTAGCCGACGTGCCCACCGTACGGTTGAATAACTGGGCACGTGTCTCTCTCACACTCCTTCTCTGTCTCGCTCTCTCTTTCTCTCCCTCTTTCTCGCGCTCTCTCTCTCTCTCTCTCTCTCTCTCGATGTTCCTCTCTAACTCCTACTCTGCATTGTGTAGCAAATGTATTATTAAGAAACCATTTGTAGCTATTTTCCTATAATCTCTTTGCATATGATGATGATTGTGCCGACGACGATGAGGGCAATGATTATGTTCGTATTCGCTCACCACCACGCCCCAGCTTAGTTACATAAAAAACTGTCAGACCAACAACAATAGAAACAGCAATGAAAAAACCTTTTTGCCAAAATTGTCTGAAGTCTACTGCTAGGAGTTGATACTCGTACATGGGCGGGGTATATTGAGTCAGAAGTATGCTTCAGCATCTACACACGTGTGTATGGATTTTGCTGACTCAACTGAAGCTGAACACGAATTCGGTTTTATCCTGGACAACTCCTAGATATTGTTGTTTGCAAATATTGCGTGTTAAATGCGATCGGACGGGAAGGCAGGCACTTTGAATTTTAATTCTAAACAGATGCGAAAACGAGAAATAGCCAATTACTGGCACTTACAAAAAATACATATTTGTTTATATTTTTTATTCCCTTTTTAAATCTCTAAGACTTATTGGAAATCTTTTAACCCATCATTCAACAATTTTTCAGAACATTATAGGAATTAGTTCATGTACTAAAAACAAAAAACGATTGATTGACGAAATAATTTCGATAGTTAATCGATTTTAATTACCTTTTATCTTTTTTCTTTCAACTCTTGTTGTCACTGACAACTTGTCAGTGAGTCATATTGCAGTTGCATTCAATACCCTTTACATACTAAGAAATATATCGAATAAAAAAACATACATGTCTACGTTATGAATTATTTATTATCAAAGAATATGTATTGAATCACAAAAATAGAATACTAATTTCTGTTTCATTGAAAATACAACATTTTACGCACAAAAATTTAATTCTACCAAACAGGTGAGGCTCTTCAAATTAACAACAACAATGGCCATTTCTTAAAAAAATGGCAAATGACATTTCAGAAATAAGCTATATACATAAAGTTATCCATAGACTCTAACTATTATCTTTTTATCAACTTTTCTGCCACCTCTATGCCAACTATCACAAATGGACAACATGCATCATGGAACGTGGAACACTCAACATTCACACACACAATCTGAACGCCGAATTGACTTGGCAACGGCAACACCTGTTAAACATGTATGATGTTGTTGTTGCTGCTGTTGAATTAACAACCAATGAAATATTTAATATCATTTCATACCCAACAACAAATTTAAATATTTTTTTTGCAATGTGCATTTCAACGTGTAATATTGAACTGATTTTTGTATATATATGGGCATTGAATTCGTACCACCCAATCCCAATATAAAAATAAACACCAACAACGAACGCACATCGACTCTGCGCCAAAATATAAATTATTAAATACAATGGTGTGCTGACCAACATTTGCTTTTGATTGCACTTTAAAAATCTTTGCCATTTGCATTTCATTTGCAACTCCTGAAACTGTCTGCCCACCACTTCGCCAAAACCGGAAAATTTGAACTATCCACCCTCACCCATATTCCGCCCCATCCAAACCAACAATCCGCGCACATTGCACATTCCAAACGGCTGGCGCACTGCGGCGTCGACGCCACCCAATCAATTTTCGGCATGTCACTGCCAATTACACCTTTTCAATATTTGCGCGCATTTTTTTCCACCTTTTTGTGTCGGCCTGGCCGCGTCCACTTTCTACTACTCTGCTCGGGGCGTCGTCGCTGTATTGTCGTATTCAGTGGCGGAAACTACAAATCAGCCAGGAAAAACGGCCACCATCGAGATGTATGCGCCAAGCTCGTACAATGACACCGTTACCGGCGAGACACTCTCCAGTGTGTCCGAGAAGAGCGAGTCCTACTCCAATGAGGGCAGTCAACCGGAATATATTGTGAGTACATAGTGCAAACAGAAAGAAAGATACTCGTCCATATTCTCGTATATATACATATCTCTATACTTACATACATAGTTACCATAGTGGCGGACACACAATTTGTTAGCTTACATATTTTTGGTACCCTTGATTGAAATTGAGGTTTCATTATGTGTTTATTCACCTCAAATATAATAATAGAGTGCCATATACTTCCCAATATTATCAGCTATAAAAGTCTAAAACTTGCAATTTAACACTAATTCTGCAAATATCGAAGAAATTGTGAATATAAGCATGGTGAATATTTTTAAAACTTCCTATATAATCATTACAAATTTTAAATGAGATTTAAGTTTTACAAAAGAGCAAGTGTTTTAATATTTTCACATATTAGAATAATCACATAATTGAGAAAAGAAAGAAATTTTATTTAGCAGAATATTCAACAATTAATGTTTGTATTGAAAATCATGTGAAAGAGTATCTCAAAGTCAATATACCTTGCTCAGCTATGTATGTTTTTTTTTACCCTGCCTGAATACGCAATTGCTGAATGCAAATAGTAACATGAAAAAGGAACAGTTGAATTTTTAAAATTATTCAGACTTGGGATATGCTGGAATAAATGCAAAGCATTCAAGTGCTTTATTAGTGCTTCAAAAAACGGCAGCGCGCTTAAAATTACAATTCAAGGCCGGAAGCTGCTCTGTGCTGTTGACCCCGAAAAACAAACTTTACTGCTGCTGATGAACAGCAGTAGAAGCAGCAACAACTCAAAAGGCTAACGGAAGTGCGCACCAACCAGCCGGAAGTGGCATGCCGCCATTGCCGCTAAGACGTTGTGATTAATTACGCGACGCTGATGATGATAATGATGAGCGAGGCAACGATAACAACAATGACTAAGATGCTGCAAACAAATCGTTTCAAATTATTAAAATCATTTATTATCAACGTAATCTGCAGCCGCCAAGAACCACAAAAACAACAACAACAACAAGAACAGCGCTAATAACAATAAAAACTCCAAGCAAATGCCGCCCAATGTCACACTGCAGAGCAAAATACGGCCGCCTTTGGTTATAAATCAGCGTTGCGTATACGCAATGTGAGCATTTTGCCTTCGGCAATGGCTGCAAGGCGTGTGTGTCGCCACTGTCATTGCGACTGTCAATTATGTTCCTACATTTTCAGCAGTCCTCTTGAATGGTGCACAAGAAATGAGCTGTAAGGCATAATTACACAGCGTTAGTGTAAAAACAGAAAATTAGAAATTGATATTATAAAATCAAATAAGGCAGGAAGCTAAAGGAATGCCGCCCCTAATTGAATTCATTGTTACTATTCCTACTCGTCTCATCATATTTTTGTTTCATTTATTCACTCCTAATGCTCAGAAACACACATTCTTTCCTTTCGACAGGACGAGGCACGCAAAAAAGCGGCATCAACATATCTGGTCGAGAATACGGACATGCCACCGCCAAGATATCAAAAGGACGGCACACTGCCAACATTATATCCAAATAACATGGGTATGTAGCGATTTCTGATTATATATGTCAATTAGCACTTAGCTTTAAATATTCAAGTGTCGATTATGATTTGTAATGACTTGTAAGTATAAAATTATATTTCAAATAAGCAGTCAACTAGCCTTTTAAAAGTATCCAGCTTCATAGCCTCTATACAAACCTATTCTATTTCGCAAAATAATAATAATAATAATACTATAATATATAACATAGGAACATAATTTGTATTACTATATATATTCCAATTTTGTTGAGGAATTAATAAATTTGTGAGATAAAGCGACAAAAGTGCTGCTGCCAAATGGAAAATCCTTTATAAAAGAGCTGTACATTTTCCCATCACGCAGCCAAGAATTTTGAACTGCGGTGCAAAATTGCACTTATTTTTCAATGCATTTTTTTAAGTTACCTTCAATCTTTTTTTTTCTTTGCTGTCCAATGCCTTTGAACGAAGTTTGACACTTTACAGCGAATAAAAAACGTTTTAGATAATTAACTTTCAGTCAAAACAAAGCTCGAAGTTGGAACTTCTAAGCGAGCTCAACTCTCACGTTCGACGTCCTCTGGCGTTTCCATTCGCGATTCTTTTTTTTCGACCCCTCCACTCTCAGCTGCACTCATTGCCCGATTTTATGCCATGATTGCAGCGCAATCAAAGCTTTTTCAAGCGTCCAACAAAAAATAAAAATCCATGTAAAAAATGGCAATCGTCGAAATACATAAAGAAAAACGAAAAAGAATCGGCGAAGGGGGATGGAAAGTGGAAAACTAGTGGCTTGCGAGCTGAAAATTCAATTTCAATGCAACAACTCAAGCTTCTTGCTTAATTGTAATTGAGCAACAGAGTTTTTCACTAGTCTTGATTTTCAATGGCAGCCCTACCACCATGCACATACAAGTACATATAAATATGTATATATACTTGTAGATGTATAGCACATGTATTTACTTTAGCCAGTGCAGCAAATCACGTTTTGGTTTTTTAATACTACTATTTTAAAAACGTGCTCAAAACAAATACAATTTGAGCAAAATGTGTTAAACAATGAAATATAAAATATACGTAGCTCGAAATTATAAAAATAACAGCTGAGGTATGCTGCGCCAAGAATTTCATAATTGAAACAATATTATTAGCCATAACGACCATTGTACGCAGCTAACCAATTCCGCTGTGTTCCGACATCTAGTATCTTGAATGGCATGTTACTTACCTGCTGAACGCGGACTAAGATAAACATTGCAATAATAACAACTGCCAAAAAGTTTAGATAAAAAGGCAAGGTAAAACCTGAAACGGAAGCAAATGCATTTGAAATGCAAAAGTGTAAAAATAATAAAAATACATTAGCTGCAAGAACTTGAGTGTGAAGCCCTTTAAATAGGAAATGGGAGAGAGTGCAAGTATTCTTGGGTATGCCAGCAATGTCCGACCTCTTAAAAAATGAAACACAATTACTTTGCGACAGAGAGTTTGGCAAGTGTGATGACACATCACAAAAGCTGGAACAACAACGCACCGGAGAGCAAAGAAATGAAAACAAATGAATGATGTATAAAAAATAAATGTATTAGCATTTTAAGATGAAGCTTCTTGAAATAGATTAGCCCCCAACGAAACCTCTAAATCTCATGCACATACATACTTTCGTACTTAAAATTCTGCCATTCTTGCAAAAGGCAAAAATAAACAACAAAGTATTTTAAATAGAAAGTAGGAGCCAAACAAAAAACAAACTCTTGCAGAGAAAGAAAAAGAAACAAAGGGGAGAAAGAAATGCAAAAGAATGCCACGTGGCATAAAAATGAAAATGCCTGCCCACAACTAATTCTCATACACGCAAAGAAGCATTGTATGGCGTCGCATTCTCGATATAATGCAGACCGAGACATTTCCAGGCGAGTATGCAAAAGGATTAGGTAACTGATAATCCTGTGGACTATCAAACGATTCAACGATTCGTAAATACTATAGTATATATAGTATTATATTCGTTAATTGACTACTCCAGCTCATCTTAGCAGCAGCCCATTATTATACTCATTATTGACATTAAACAAAATAAAATCTCCCCAACAACATTTTGAAGCAAAGAAATAGATCTCTGTTATTTATTTATTATATTCATCATGAAAATTTGGAATAAATAATTTCATTTGGAAAAATCTATTACATACACATTGTCTATTGAATTTGTGAATATATTTGTGTGTATATATGTGTGTCCCCTATAACAATATCGTGTTACGTATGCCACGCCGTTAAGTATTTTACTTGCTTTCATACGAAAGTTCCAATGGAGGAAGGTCAGAAACGTACATTTTTAATGCATTAAAGACCCATTAACAAAAGCGCAAATACTAGCAAATTCACGTAGTTTCGGTAAAATTTTTAATTTCATGTTTTTAAAGCAAGTAACGAAAAAATGACAGTAGCAATGTGCGATGATGGTGCGTCACATTTTTAATGAGACACTTTTCAGCAAGTCAACAGCAGCGTTAATGAGCAGTGAGAAAAAAGGTAGGGAGACGACTCCGCACATGTTGGTTGGCGGGTTGGTTATTTCGTTGGATGTTGCAACAAGTAACTCCAACAGCCTGTGGAGAACCGTACGTGTAGGCGATACAAATCTAAAGCTGCAAATGTGGAAAGGCATCTATAGTGAAAAGAGCTCGCTTGCTTACAAATTGCAGCAACAAGATTGGGTTGACCTTTTTTGGTTTTTGGAAGGGTGCATTAACAAAGGATGCAACTAGCCCAAGGGCAAGGTACTAGAGCGGCTGGGGCGTGTCAGTTGGGGTAGATGTAATTGAAGCAACGCGTGCGTAAGTAGGTGACAGATACGCTGACAGTAGATTGCGAATCGTGACAAGCAAGCACAGATGTTGTAACGGGACATGCCCAGAGAGCGAATTTGTCATAAATGCTCCCAACACATTTGGCAGCAATACAAATGGTGTCATACAGAAACTATAACTGTTGCTAGTTCCTAGAAAGTCACAACTACTTCCACATATAGCTTAAATAAGCAATGAATCAGCGTATTGCAGTTATAAAAATTATTGGCATATTAAATTGGTTGTGTAACGAAACTCTACAAAGATCTCTAGAATACGAATTCATTAAAATGAAGGAGCTTTAGAGTTCACCGTTGTAAAAAAATATTTGTTTTCCGATTTTTTTGTTATATTACTATGTTATTCTTTTCACTACGGTTATCGTTTCATCCAGATATTCGATAGTATTCGATAGTTAATGAATTAACACGTCAATCACCAACTTAGTAGCGATGTCAATTTATTATTTAATACAATTAATTGGCTGTAACCTCTTTTTATATTGCCCGTAAGGGCAATCTCTAAATTTATTAAATAAAAAAATGCGTTCCTTTTACATTAGCAAACCCTTATAATTGGCGTTACTTTGCTAACCCATACTGCATATTAGAAGTGCCCCCAAGCAAGAGGGGAGAAATTGTTACATAAAGACTCTAATTGAAAATATTTTCCTATTAAAACCAGATATGTAAATCAATACGAACAAATCTTGTGCAACTTTAAGCCCATCGCAGGGAAAGAAGAACCGTTGATTAAGTACATTGATAATCACGTTTCGGAGCCATTAGTCTTTGACTATTATCTACGCTACTTACGCAATAGATGGCATTAGTACAGAATACAACCGGTGCCATTAATTAATTACCTACAAGATTGAGTTGCAAGCTGCGTAAGACTTGTTCTTCTCTCTTAGCTTTCACATCACTTCCGGTTGCAGTAATTTTTTCTCTTTTTTTTTTTTTTGCTGTTAAGTATTTTTGCCTGCTTAATTTTTTTGCCACAGCCAAATATTCGTCTGTGGAGTCCCTTGCTATTAATATGAAATGAATTAGAACAATTTCTGGCTGGCATGTAAATATTTATTGTACTATATATGCCGCTATATATTCCATTTGCTTTGATTGGCATTTGAAACTGTTGCACAGCTCGTAAGCTCGAAAAGTAACAAAAAGTTATGCATTCGCACAAAACATAAAACATAAATAGTAAGTACTTGTATATGTGTGCGTGCTTGTTTAATGATGCGCCTCATATTGATTACGCGCTGTTTATTCAGCTGCCTGACATCAGAGACTCCAATTCGGCTTTTCAGCGATTGTTGCCTCTTCTTGATCGAAAAATCAATAATTCATGAGCGTGCGTGCTTTTTTTTAATACAATACAATACAATACGAACATACTTACATACATACTACAATATGCAAAATAAACAAGCCACAAAATGAACAAGAGCATCAATGGGCACAGGAGCAATGGCAGTCATGGCAGTCATGCTTGTGGTGATGCGCCTCTTCAATTTGTCGTTGTCACCACAACGGCGAAAACGTACCCGAACGCCGCAGCTACAGCCGTCTGAATTTTCTTAACAAAATTATTGTTGCCTACTTTTCTGGGTGCGCCATTTGAAACCCAATCCCAAAACAAGAGCATCTGTGAGCATTTTGGAGTGTTTATCTTTGTTCCTGTTGATGTTACCATTTTTGTTGTTTCTGTGTTACCGTTATATATATATATATATATATATATATATATATATATATATATATATATATATATATATATATATATATATATATATATATATATATATATATATATATATATACATGTTATTTTGTGCTCTTGTCTCAGTCTATTTTACAAGTTATTAGTTACGTTTGTGGCTTTCACGCCTTTTCAAGTGACAGCGGAATGTGAGTTTCTCAGAGCTGGCACTGAAGGGACTGAACAATTTATGAATTTCAATTGCAAATGATTAAATGTACCTATTTTGAAGATTACCTATTTCGAGCTGGCATATCTTTGACTTGAGTAAATTTTTAATTTAAACTGTCCAACAAAAACTACTTTATCATAAAACAGTTAGTAATGAAACCGTTTATCTTTTTAAAACAAAGATGTGAAACAAAATTAGGGTGAAAGAAAAGTAATTTAGATTCTAACAGAAATTGCTTAGTTCCGTAAGTTCATATCAGAACTTTGCTATCTAAAATATAATAGAAATAGGTATCTAAAGCATTTGTTTTTTTATTATTTTATGTATAGTTATGTATATAAATTAGGTTAGTTAGATGTGCTGTTGCAAGTGTGCTTGAGTTTTAAGTTTGAAGTGCGTTTTGCTGGTAATTGTTTTAAGGTGATGCTGTAGATCGTTCCACAGCGGAGCAGCGAATATGAAGAAATGCTTTTCCGAGCTTGATAATTTGTATCTAGTGGAGAGCAAATTATTTTCTCTTCGTGACGTACGATTGGACTAGGTTTATTGCTGTGTCCGAGAAGTTATATAGCCTTTTCAATTTGGTCTGTCCGTCCGTATGAACACCTGGATCTCAGGGACTATAAGAGCTAGAGATACCAAATTTTGCACAAAGATGGCTTATGTGTGTACGCTGTGCAAGTTTGTTTGATTTTTTGATTTTCCCCCCACTTCCCCCCTGTGGGGGGTTTTCCCGATTTTTCATTCGTATAATTGCCTATATCTCGGAGACTATAAGACCTAGGAACACCAAAGTTTAGTCCAAGATGCCTTATGTGAATTCGCAAAAAATGTGTATTTTGGAATTTCCTTCCCTCCCCCCTCTCCCCCGCAAATCGTAACTCCCGTAATTCTTCGAATTTCGAACTCAAACTTGTTAGTGATTATAAGTCCAAATGCCAAGTTTCATAATGATAGGCCGATTTAAAAGGAAGTCATAGCCATATATGTGCATAAGACCAAGCAGTGCCCGCAGCTATTGTTGTTGTTACTGCTGTGCTCAGGCACAAGAGACATACACAGACATACACAGACACACGCATACACGCATAATTATTCTACACATATGTACAGAGTATTTCAAAGTCGGGATACCCGGCTTTATCTTTTCTACTTGTTAATAAAGTAATTTTTTCAGTATTGATGTGTAGGTCTATACAGAATTTCTGTTATCGGGCCAACCATTTGTTTTATGCTAAGGAACCTTGTTGAGTGGTTCATGCCCAAGCTCATGCTCTCACAATCTCTGACTTGATGCTTCATGTGGCTTATCAGCCAAAAAATGCAATGGTATTATCTTAATCGTACCATGCACAGGGGGGCAACATTGCAACATTTGACTTTTATCACCTGACGACATGTTGAGGCCCATGCTCGCTCAGCTCGCTGTACGAGAACTCGCTCAGCTCGTTCCAATTAATGGCACTCGTTTTTATTTCTTTCCAAACGTTTGCACGTGAAATGAACCAGAAAGCAGCCAAGTGTTACAGCTACGTCGATGCAACCTGCATGGATGTATGGATATAGCCAACTATGTGTGCGTCTGTTTGTATTTATGTTTGTATGTTTGCCAGCTTCCCCCTTGGCACTGTTGCTGTTTTCGTTAGCATTACCGCTTTTTCGCCCTCTACCGGCCCACACAAATTCCATTTGCAAGTTCCTCTTTGGCCGTGTGCTTTACTGTATGTGTAGTTGTTGTTGCTATTCACATGCTTCCATAAATAAATGTGTCATTTACAGTTTTGAAATTGAAATTCTGCTCTCCTATTGCGGTCGGGCCAAAAAGACTCATTCTCACTTTACTGCTGCTATACTATTATTTGTGGTTGTTGTAATTGCTGCGACCCTCTGAAACCTTCAGAGCCATAAAAAATCAATGAAGCTCAATATTTACTACCAACTCACTTAGTTTGGCCAATCTTATTTCAACACGCATTGTGGACGGGTACTTAAACTCGAGCGTAGCACAATGTAGGTAACAAATTTTCAAATTAAATTTTCATCAGGTTGGCAATGGTTGCTCGGACAGCCATGTTGTTTCCCTTTGCGTGTCTCCCACAATAACGACTTCAATGAAATGCAAATTGACTTTTCTCACACATACGTGCATACCGTGTAGTTGTGTATACAAAGAAACGTGCTCGCAATTGGCGCTCGATCAGCCTTTGCATTGGAACAGAAAACTGATTTAATGGAGGTTGGGGATATGTTTATGTTCCCCTTGTTGCTGGCTTCACTGCACTTGACTGCATACGCATACGTATGAATATATTTGTTACTAATTATTAAATATTAAAAAATGAACTAACTAAAAAGTTATGCAAACTTAAGTTTCATCAATTTGTGCCTGAAAGTATACAAATACTTGATCAGCATGGCAAGACGACTCGAATTAGGTATTTCTGTCTGTATGTACGTATGTGTGTCTGTCCGTCTGTATAAACTCCTAGATCTTAGAGACTATAAGCACTAGAGACAGCAAATTTTGTACATACTAGATGCCATATAGACACAGACAGGGCTAAATCGACTCACGGAGCCACGGAGCTGAAAAATGTAACAGGCAGAGGAGGCGTGGCAGACCCCACAAAGTATATATATTCTTGATCAGCATGACAAGATGAGTCGATTTAGCCCTGTCTGTCTGTCTGTCTGTCCGTCTGTCCGTCCGTCCGTCCGTATGATCACCTAGATCTCAGAGACTATAAGAGATAGAGACACCAAATTTTGCAGAAAGATGCGTTATGTGTGTATTCTATACGAGTTTGTTTTATTTTTTTTATTTTCCCCCCCACTTCCCCCTATGGAGGTTTTCCCGATTTTTCATTCGTATAATCGCCTATATCTCGGAGACTATAAGACCTAGGAACACCAAATTTTAGTCCAAGATGCCTTATGTTAATACGCAGAAAATTTTGGAATTTCCCTCCCTCCCCCATCTCCCATGCAAATTTTCTAACTCCCGTAATTCTTGGAATTTCGAACTAAACTATTTTGCAAATACCCCCAGTTAGTTATTATGTGTCCGTATGCCAAGTTTCACTATGATAGACCGATTTAACAAGAAGTTATAGCCATAAATATATTTGCTGCTGCAGCGCTGCCCACGACTGTTGTTGATGCTGGTGCTTTAGTTGACTGCACACATGTTTACACAGACACGAATAGATGCGCTTAGGCATACATACACTCGCACAGACGCAATTGCTATGTAAATGTGCAACACCCTTTACGTGAGTTCGAATACCAAGAAAGGTAAAATCGATCAAAATTTTTTTTTTTTATTTTCTTAATTTTTTTTATTTTCTATAATTATTGTAAACATATGTACAGAGTATTTCAAAGTCGGGACACCCGACTTTAGATTTTTTACTTGTTTTATGTTACATACTTGTTGTACAGAGTATTTCAAAGTCGAGTCACAAGACTTTCAATATTTTTTTATTGCCTTGCATTAATTAGTTGAATACTATTTAAAACCAATGTTTAAATGTGTTAAACAAGGGTTACACGTAATTAAGACCACAAACGTAAAAAGAATATAGTTTAAGTAGTAATAATCCATTTTACTATAGAACTTCATGTTAAAAATAAATGTTTGTTCCTTAAATATTTCAGTGCAAGTCTAAAAGACTTAACTTATCTTTGTCACTTGCCAAATATGATAAAATTACTTTGTTATCCTCACCTATTTTATATGAATAGACATTTTTTGTCAACATTGTCGTCGCCAAGCTTTGTTTGTACTCAGCAATGAATTTCTCTTTATATTAATGTAACCACGACACAATGTTGTAACTTACAAGTACGAGTACATTGCCATTGCTAATCATGTTATCCTCTATCTATATGTTTACAGTGAACGCCTGCACATTGCCACACCCACGACACAATAATGGAAATGCAATTGTTGCAGCTGCCGCTGGTGTGCATATGTCGCGGGATGATCAGATGCTCATCAGCAAGGGCGTTTACATTCCGTCCCCATCGCCAGCACCGCCACCAGATGGTTCCTATTACAATATGAATAGCGACAGATATCTGTCATATCCGCCGATGGTAAGTACAAATGAAATTTGCCCCCACACTCATTTGAAAGTCACACGCATGCCAAGACATGCGCGACTGCTCTCCTTTAAGTCCACACATAATCCCAGCGTGTGAGCCAAGTCGCTGTATCTACTGCTGCATCAACTACAGCTTTAATTACCCATCAGCCCTGCTTTATCCTTGGCAGATAACGTGGCACCCTCCATGTTGCGATTTAAGCAATCAACTTTTGTCTAAGCTTCTGCGCTCCCTGTCGCTCATTGTTGCCCACCCCCATGAATTATTTCGCCGAATTAGCTGGCATTGTATGCACATGGCTCTACTGGATTTTTCACATAACAGCACAGAGAGAACAGCCCTTGCAATATGTATATTAATATAATGTATATAAACGGTATACACGAGATATCTGAGAAAGTCACGGGTGTTATCAGGACTTATTCACATTGAATTTCATCATTTTCCAAAAACAATACGATATTACTTTTTTCTTCGCCTGAAACTGTTGTTGATTGTACCTGAATTTGACTTAATATATAGTTTAATAGCTAAACAATGCAAATGAGTTCGTAAAATATTCCCAATCGTCATTTAAAAGGTTACTGTATATATACAAATTATTATTTCTTGACATTTGGTGAGAGATTGCGTGAAGGACAAATTTATTAGCAGACATCACTCCACCAAATCGGCTGTGTACATCGCCAAAGTCAGAATATATTAAAAATTCATAGAGGAAATCCGAAAACACTCATTTATAAAGCTACACCCACGGTACTGTCAATTCCTTCACGCTTCCACTAAGCTGACTTGGCAGCCATTTAACGCGCTTCGACTTTTATAATCCGCATGGCGTATGCAACATGCAACACAGTAAAGACAAATGACAAACTTTAAAAGTATTACTATAAGTAAGCTACGCAAGTAAAGTCTGCGCTGTGTTTAGCTTGCTTATTGTCATTGTTGCTGTTGTTGTTTGCACTGCTGCCTGCACTTGCAAAAGCAAACATTATTTTCTCAAGACAACAATTTAATATTACGCATACGCAACGTATGGCGGTAGCTGGAGCAGCACAGTCACCGGCAAAGGGAATGGCAACGTTTACGACAGCGATGGCGATATATCGCAATCCCCATGTGTGTCTGCGTGTTTGTGTGTCCTGCATCCTGCGTCTTGCGTCATGTGTGTCTACGTGTCGCTTCATTACATTCTACAAAGTTTTTCTACCGCGTCACTCATAAAACGACTTCGCTCGGTGCTGCCTGAGAAAGAAGGGCGGTCACAGGGCGTGTTACCGAGATTTTGATATGGCGCGCGCTTTCGTAAAATATGAACAGCCCAAGACGACGCCCAAGTGAACAAAATGCGGCTAGTCAGGAAAAGTTAAGTCAAGAAACGCATATTTACGCTCATTTGCTGTTGATGTGCAGTTTGCTGCCGATGTTGGCTCATGTTGTGTATGTAAGATGCAACTCTGGTAAATTAAATAAACGAGAATCCTTCATTCAATAAATATCTCACCTTTGCTGATAAGTACGCATGTACTTTACACATGTATAGTAAAAGCGCAAAACAATGTCTTCCACAAATGTCAATATTTCCAAAATATTGGGTACATTTCGGTTAATAATATCAACAATTTTGAGGATCATATTTAATATTGATTTTATATGAAACTCGTTCTTCTTTTTAACTACGACAAATTAATTATATTTGAAATTCATCGTAGGTATTTACATATGTATATATAACTTTTTTCTGATTCCATCACACGTCCATCAAATAAACCGCCAATTTCTGTTACTGCTGCGGTTGCCGCTTTTCCTGTCGGTGTGGCTGTCTCTGTCCATTCACTTTATTAGATCTGCCACACCTAAGCGAAGGGGCTATGTGAAATTCTAACCCCAATACCACTAACCCATAGTTTCAATGGGCTGCGTCGGGAACGTGCCCAACAGTTTGGTCCTTGCTAGTGTCGCATTGGTAACCAATATAAATTCCACAAATTCACAATAAACATGAGAAAATCAATTTTTGGAATTTATTACCCTCGTTCTTTTTTAGGCAAAGCATTATTTTTTTATATGCCCCCACAAGCGCACACACACATACATACATATGTACATGTATATCATTTATTTTTATCCCTTGCTGTATGCTGACTTTTGACAAAGGGGTGCAAATGTGACAAGATAAGATGACACTCAACGTGGGCGGGCAGTTGACAGTCAGCTCCTGCCAAAACTGCACACAACCACAGACAATGTGCCGCTGTCAGCTAGAATTATGTGGCCTTGTCGAGGACGATGTCGTCGTCGTTGCCATCTGCAGACAACTACGGACATCAACATGCCAGAAAGGGCATGCAATAATTGTATAAATTAGATGCAGACCAGTTGCAAAACAGTTCTGGGGCAACAGCCATAATCTGATGATCATGTTTCCTTGAGGTGTAACTCAAAGTCGCAAAAGCTAGCTCATCAAATGCCGAAGGATATACCAGAGCTCGCCAAAGTTATTCCCATCAACACCCACACACTCAGAATCTTATTCACTCACAACATGGCTGCTAAGATAATAATATTTATGCTTGCAGCTGCTCATGTTTATGGCCTTTATACGATTTGTTAAGTTATTAAATTTGACCCAGACTTCGCTTTTCGTTTTTGCCCACACAACCGCCCTTACCTCCACAGCCACTCCTTCTGCGGCCGAATGCTGCTGCTGAATGCTTCTGCTGTTGTGACCAGCATTTTATATTGGTCTATCTCAGTTGGATAGGCTGTCCAGCCTGACTCCCCAACAGTTAAATGATATACTCGCCACTGCCAACGCCACAGCTATCACATCGCAACTAGAGCTATATGTGGCCCGATCTGCCCCTGCGCACCCCGCTACCTCTCCTGCACTCTATATTCCGCCATTGCACATGTTAGTCGGCCAACATGGGACTAAACCTTTTGTTTGCGGTTTTTAGTCAACGAGGGAGAAAAATTCAATTTCGGTTTAGTTGGTCAACAATGCCATTCTGTCTGTGTATGTGCGATTGTAGACTTGCTCGTGAGAGCAGATTTTCGTCCCATTCATATAAGAAATGTTTAGTAGAGCCAAAATTGAATTATTTGATAAACATCATTAGAAAAATTACAAAATATATACACTTTGTGCTTTTGCAGTTTCTATAGTATTGCCTTTGTTGTTGTGGTTGTTGTTACTGCTGCTCCTGCGGCTTCGTCTGTGGCTTTTGAAAACATTTACCACACACTAAATTACTTTTGTTGTGCACAGCTGTCCAAGTTGGCATTGAGAGCGAAGAAAAAAACCTAATAAATAAATACATTACAAAACAATTTATAAAAGCAAATCAAATTAAATTTCAATTGAGTACTTGATAAAAAACAATACAATATGGCAATGCTTTTCGCTTTATTTCATAATACTAATAAAACAAATACAGTTGTAAATCGAAGCATTACGTATCATTAATTATGAATACCCTATTTTATTCTTTAATCTTTATTTAATTCCTGTCCTGGATTGGCAATTATTAAATTTTATGAGCAGTGTGAAATTTCAATCATGCTGCAGAAAAAATTTCACTGTGGAATTCGTGCTAGCTCGTTGAGCTATGCCAGGCCCCCAATATAGTACATAATGAAAACTTAGTTTTTTATTGTTATTAATAATTATTGTGTTGCGAATCGCCGATTCAGCTTTGGCCTTAACGCGACTGTTTTATATTTATTTTAAAGAATTTAAGACTGCACCACGATTGGAACCTCGTTGATCTATGGATTTTAAAGCGATTTTCAAAACTGTCTACACTGAGGTAGAGTTGTAAAAACATCGATGTTCACCAACATGCACTTCAATTTTACTTTTCAAATATCTATACATTGTTTACGTCCACGTTCACTATCAACACCACTACTCGCAAAACTATTTCATTAATAAAACAAGAAAGAAATGCTAAAGTCGAGAGGGCTCAACTCTTAAACTACTACTGTACTACCCCACAAAAAAATTAATCAATTAATTAATTTAAAAATTTTGCGGGGGAGTGTGGGGGTGTATCAGGAAAAAAAAACACAAACAGGCGGACAGACGGACATGGCTATATCGCCTCGACTTGTCATCCTGATCAATGATATATATACTTTGTGGGGTCTGCCACGCCCCCTTCTGTGCGTTACATACATTTTATCCTTTGAGTAAAGGCTATAAAAATTAAGAAAATTAAAAAAAAGATTTTTAAAAATTTTGATAATTTTTACCTCCGTTGGTATTCGGTATAAATGCACATGCGTCTATGCGTGTCTATGCATGTTTGTGTATATCTGTGTATGTCTCATGTGCCTATGGAAAACAGCAGCAACAACAACAACAGGTGCAGGCAGTGCTTGGGCAAAATAACATATATGACAATAACTTCCTGTTAAATCGGCTTATCTTAATGAAACTTGGCAACGTACTCATGATCATCACTGAAAAATTCCAAAAAATACGGGAGTTATGAAAAATTAGTAATTGCGGGGGAGAAGGAGGAGGAAGGGAAATTCCAAAATGTTCTGCGTATTCACATATTTGAAAAAATTGTCTCTAGCTCTTTTCGAAAAGGACTCGGTATTGGCAACTAAAACATCGATGTTTTCGATATTGTCCAAACATCGATATATCGATGTTGATATCGATGTTTTTCCAGCTCTACGCTGAGATACACAAAAATTTTCGTTTATTTTCTTTCTTATAATTGGAGGCGTGGCAGACCCCACAAAGTATATATATTATTGATCAGTATGACAAGTCGAGTCGATATAGCCATGTCCGTCTGTCCGTCCGTCTGTATGAACGCAAGGATCTCAGCAAGTACAAGAGCAAGAATAACCAAACTGAGTATCCAGGACGACGCAGAGACACGATTCTGATGTATGTAAATGTATGTTGAAACTGTACATGTGTGCATTTACATTTACATCAGAATCGTATATTGGTTATAAATTTCTTTCTA